AGCATCTTTGATATCAAGGAACAAACACAACAACCCACACTCTTTTCTAAGCTACAGCCCAATCAGACTTTTGAAATGCATACAGCTGATGCCATGTATCTTCTCCTATATATAAAAAGTACAGCGCATAAAATCCCATGATGACAGTCAGACATTGCCTCCTTTAGCTGCTGTCTCAGGAATTGTCTTCCCAGTTCCGATGGCTCCACTTCCAGAAGACACCAAGCTAACCTCAAAAGTGAGCCCCATAACACTGAGAAGTCTGGCACATACCCCAGTGTTAGTGAAAAGGCATCACCTGGGGTGCTTGAACTGCGAATACAAGCACCACCACAGCAGCACAGGGTGTGCAAGAGTTTAAACGTAGAAGCTATATAGAGACTTACTCAGTGGTCCTGAGAGCTCTTGCTCAGCTTTCTTTACAGGAATGTAAACAGTTCTCCTTGCAATGTCTATGTTATGTCTCGGCTTTGTTAGAATTTCCTGAGCAGTGCTGCTGCCAAGAACACAAGGAGCGAGGCCATCAGGAGGAGCGATTCTCCTCCCAGTTCCTCGGGGGGGGGCAGGATCATGGATCTTGCAGGACTCAGTGCTGGAGATACAAGCTGGGGTTAGGCCCTTGTTATTTCCTCTGCAATTTCTGTAAAAACTGTGTCCTGGGATTCTTAAACACATCCAGGAACAGCTTCATATGAGACAGAGCATCAATGTACCTGCACCACTTGCCTCACATTCCCATCACAGGGCGCACCTCACCATACCGATCTCTCCACAGCATTCTGCTATAGGCTAAAGCTGCGTGGAATGAGCAGATCTGCTTTGCTGTGCTGGCACAACTATGTGGTTGCACAGTATTTTGCCATACACTTTATTTCACTGCTTTCAATTGCACAAAAAAGATAGAAAAAAATGATACAAATGTGAATTCATATTAGAAGTGGTATTTTGCATATGTTTGAGTGAAAAATTGGGATACACAAGATATGCCATAAGTTCTTCCTTTTTGTATTAGAGGTCTGAATTTTTGTGAAACTCGTAAGTTTAAACACACTGTAAAATTATAACATTTGATTAAATCCATGAAGCTTTACTAAAGCTCTCATGGCACTGACACACAACCAATTCCCTTTGAAGACTCCAGGAAATGTGAATCCAGAGCTTGCTATGCTTGTTATTTCTAACCAAACTACAGTGATGATGAAAAATTATTAAGTGTGTATCATTTTGATATAAAATCATTAATCTGACTTTGACAGGGGCCATAAATAGGCTGAGCAGTTTTCAAAGCCATTGCCTGTCCTCCTACACAGTGCTTTCCTTCATGACAGCAGCTGAACAAAACAAACTCATTTTCCTAATACACTTGGTCTTTGGAAATGCATTTTCGATTAAGTAACTCATTCCTCCTGTTGGTCCACTGGTAACCGAGTTTACTGACAGGGAAAGGTCCACCTTTTCATCCAGCTGGGTGCCTGCAAACAGATGGATGAGGCTGTGTCAATAAATCTGATTCTTTGCTGTAGGAAAAAAGGAGGATTTTCGTGGGGGTTGGTGGGTGCTGATGCTGCCAACAATGTTTTGTTGAGAGAAGACTTGTGTGACAGTCTTGCTGGTGAAAGGAAAAAGGCATGATGCAATGGGCAAGTCTCTCTGCCATGGTTCCAGAGGGCAGTTCACAATGCAACTGTGAATGAGAAAGGGGAAAAACCACCTTCAACCACTCCAACAGCAACAACCCAGTGCTGTGCAGATTACAGAGCAGAAGAGTGATGGAGGGGAAGCAAAAAAAGGGTTTGAGGAAGCAATGTGTCCTCTATAATCATGGAAGACAAAGAAAACAGGTTGTTTTAATGGAAAGAAGAGACGAAAGTATGTAATAATGAATGGAACTGATTGGCTGAGATAAGCATCCTATGGTCTTCCTTCTCATCTCCATTTTGCTGTGTCTTCCTTGGCCTCAAAAGGTTTATTCCAGCTTTACATCATTGTTGCTCTGGCTCTCCTTTATTCCATTTCATATAAATACCAAATCAGTTCTCTGTCCTCTTGTACCAACTCATTTGGCTGCTGCTTCTGATTGTAATACTTGGGCCTATAAAAGAGTTCTCAAAGACCTTGCTTCCCTCTTCTATCAGCATCTCAGAATTCTATCTTTTGCCATTTAGCTACCTCTACAAAACAAGATGTTAATGGCAACAACTTTTAAAATTGTGGATTTTATGATTTTATGTATGCAAGCTGATTTAGCAGGAGAATAGCAACAAATGAGAAATGGCAATTAACACTCCCGGAGTAAAGCCTGTTATTTCTCATGTTCTTCAACCCTTCTCTCACAAAACGCTTTCAGAAAGAAGGCAGCTGATTCTAGCAAACAAGACTACACATTTCATAATTCCACTCCATTGCTTTTCCAAAAACAAAAATATGTAGGAAGAACATTTCAGTATAACTAATTAGCAGGCTCCATGTCCTCATCCTTGTTATGCAAGGGACATCTCTAAAAGATTCCTCTGGGAGAGCTTCTGCTGTTAGAATTTTATGCCCCTGCTGGAGTCCATTCAGCCTCCTGGTATCCAAAGGGGGCCTACAAAGATGTGGAGAGGGACTTTTCATCAGGGACTGTAGCGAAAGGACAAGGGGTAATGGGTTTAAACTGAACCAGGGGAGATTCATGTTAGATGTAAGAAAGGAATTCTGCCCTGTGAGGGTGCTGAAGCGCTGGCACAGGGTACCCAGAGAAGCTGTGGCTGCCCCAACCCTGGCAGTGTTCAAGGCCAGGTTGGACACAGGGGCTTGGAGCAAGCTACTCTAGTGGAAGGGGTCCCTGCCTGTGGCAGAGGGCTGGAACTGGATGAGCTTTAAGGTCCTTTCCAACACAAACAACTCTGCAATTCTATGATCTACATTGATGTTCTGCATGGAATAACCCCCCTGAGCACAAAGAGTGAATACCCAGGTGTTATCTGAGAAATTGCCCTTGTCTTCATCATGGAATTTAGCATGTACTCTATATCACAGGCCAGGGTATGGAGAGCTGAAAAGAATTGGAAGGAAACATTCCCATCAGTCTGTTCCCAACCAACAGTTTCAGTGATGCGGCTTTGTTCTTATAAACCTCAGCTCTTGTGGAATGGCCACAGAGATGAGCCACTCAGCACCATTATCCCTAATTCTCTCTGCACTTATCCTTGAGTCATCACAAAACAACTCATTGTGCTGAGTGTCATCAACTCAGCTGTGGTTCATGGAACCTGAGGTATGTGCTCCCCAACCTGGCACAGAGCAGCGGAAGGAAGCGCTCCCTCCTTCAGCTGGGGTGAGTATCAGGACTGCCAAGGGCCTTCTGATGCTTTCACAGGAAAGAGGGAAGTAATTTCCTACTTCTGGAGAGAAGGTCCCTTCTGAAAGGCTCCAAGAGCAGATCTGTCAACGTGCTAGAAGAGAGGGAAGGCCGCCCAGGTGCTGACACAGAAACAAACTGCAAAAGCATCTTCACTTTTGATGATGCAGAGCAGTTCCTGACTGAAAAATAAGTAAGAATCACGCACAGTTCACTTCTTTACATACTCTTCACTGTATAAACTTCCCTTTCCATATGGTTTTATTACTTTCAAATGTGGTTTATTCCCTTATGATAGGAAAGGCTTTTTGGCAGGTGTATTGTACACACTGACTTCAAAATGACTGGTTAAAAAAACCAACATTAGTTTTCCAAAGAAGGATTTTTAATTAAAAAGTATCAATATTTGCACTAGTTTCCTTGTATCTTCTTGATAGAAAAGAGAGATTTTCCCTGACTTCTTGGTAAGGTCACCCACTGAAAACCCAGGAGTTACCCAAGTCTACTTCAGGTAATAAAATGACAATGTTTAGAAGACTGAGTTACAAGTTTTCAGTCGCTAAATCAGAACCAACTTAACTCTGGAAAATGAGCACATGCTCCTGGGGAACAGAACTCATAGAAGTGATTTCCTTCTCTTTCCGTGCTTAACTAACCTGGATCCCTTCTGCTCTGGCAGCAGGCAAGGGCTCCCTTTGCTGTTTCAGTCATCTGTGGCTGTTCATACAGATCCACACGTACAGAGTTTCAATAAGCTCCAACGAAGCTTCACTGTTGTGGGAGTGCCTCCAGAACAATTGTTTGCCAATTTCAAACCTTTGGAAACATGTCCATGGTTAATCTCCACGATAACATGGCACAGGGCAACATCTGCTTCCCATGGCGCACACAAACGGGACACAGCTGTGACTGTGTGCCCAAGTAGCGTGGTCAGTGCTGCTTTGAGCAGAGCGAGGAACATGTTTGGGCAGGGAAAAAGAGCGTAGTTTAAAAAATCCCAAGTCTTTGGAAATGCAGAGAAGTTCTGTAAGCTCCAAGTCACCAGAGAGCTCAGGGGCCATCGCTGTCTGCTCTCAAGCAAGCCAAATCCTGATGTTTGCATGCAGTACTCTGTGCTATCATAGGCAGGCCAGCCACCAGATGCTCAGAAATCTTCATTCCTCTGCAAATTAGTTCACCTCATTTCGTAGCCAAATCACTCGTCAATTCCCCCTTTGGCCTTTGCAGTTAATGGGATCTGCTCTCAGTCAGTCTGGGGGGATTCCTTACTCCCATTATGAAAACAAAACATTACTCAGAATTCAAAAGGAATTCATTTTCCTAAATACAGGAGCACAAGTTGCCACTCTTTTGTCTTAGACTAGTAGATTTGGGAGTGTTTTGAGTTGATTACAAATTACTTCAAAACTCCAAACGAAAACTGCTGGTTTCATTCAAGTACATCTTGAAAAGAAATCCTTTTTTTTCCCCCTCAGTTTCTTTGCTTTTACCTTCCTTTTTTACATCCAGGGTAAAAAAGGGTATTGTGTAGTGTGACAGACAGCTAGCAAGTGAAGATGCAGTCTTACAGCCTTTTGTAACATCAAGCAAAGATCACACCTTGGCAGTGGTGCTGTACATGACACTCCAATGGCTATAGCTGGGTGCTGCAAGCCAAGCGATCAGACCTTAACTCTTGCCCTGGTCAAAATACCTTCAGGGAGTTACTTCACAGTACTGAAAGAAGCACCAACACAGGTTCCTTCTGTTTTCTGTTGCTCAATATAGTGCACTGTCACTGCAGCCTGGCTTTCCAGCTGTGCAAGATGTGACATTTGCCTTGTAAATAGAAGCCTGAAGGGCTTCTCTCGGTCCCACTGCATCTCCTCTGAGAAACTGCTACAATTGATGGCCAAGAGACCCCCCCGTTTTACACTCTATATATATGCTTTTGAACTGTTTTATGAATCAGGCCCTATGTTTCATGCCAGGCATCCTGCCATGTGCCTCATGTAGTTTGTATAAACCTCTAGGGCTGCCTTTAATCTGCTTTCCCAGAGTCCCTAGGTTTGAAAACGTGTATACCAGGAAGACAGAGAGGAGCTGGAAAAAGAGAAAAGAAATCAAAGCACAAAGCAAGCTCACTTGTGTAAATCTTGGTCACCACTGCGAGAAGGGCCTATTTGGTTCTGCAGCCCTCACCCTTTCTCCTCAGGTACCAGATTAATGGGGGACCATTTTCCCCCTTCTGATTGTGTAAATGAGGAAGCTGTTGACTCGCCCGGTACTGGGAAGACATATGTGCTTCATTATCTGGATTCTTTGTATTGTTTCAGCTTGTTGCTGGCTGGGAACGTGCAGCCTTGAGCTGTTCCCATTTTTAAAACACACTTTTTTCTGCCCCAGATTATTGCCAAGTGGAGATTTAAGTACACTATTACTTTTATGGAGAACTATTAAGAGTTATTAGATCCCATTAGAGCAAACTATGCTCTTTTAAAAAAGAATCCTTTCCTTTATTTTTGAACAACCATTTATATTCATTTAAACCTGACAGAATGTTTGTATCAAGGCAAACACAGTTAATTATATCCTAGATCAGTGAGAACATTTCTTGTTTAGTTTTAAAAAATGGTTTACTAGTCTCCCCTAGAGACGGTGGTTTAGGAATGTGGATTTAAAGGAAGTCTGAGCCATTATGAGTGCACTGGGTGTGCTGGCATGGATGGCATGACAAGAGTTGAGTAAAGTGATAGGAAAGTGAATCCCAGCACAATGTGGACCTGTTTTGGTACTAGGTTTGGACAAAGTCCTCAGCTCATGGAGATTAAAATGTCAAGGGAGGCCTTTGTATCAGTAGAAGCAGGATCAGACCCCCCATTGCAATAGGAATATGACCTAATACTACTGGCAGAAGTCATGACTAGTAAGAGCTGCACACAGCACTTGTGCCTGGGTGGTTGAGTTTTCTTTAGAGAGGATGAATGCTTGGAGCTGGTCTGCTCCAAGTTTACTTCATGCCTACTCCTTTCTTTGCAGTTTACACCCAGCTCTCCAAATCTCTGTGCATTACTGCTTTGTCTCCAGTCAGTTCCAGATAAAATGAAGGAAATGTGTCTCAGAGGATTGAAGAAGTGTGTGCTGACACCATCTTTTCTGAGCAACGCCTCAGAGATTAGCTCAGACTTTATCCCTTCCCTAACAGCAGCATTGGTTGTAGGCAACATTCTCAGTAGCCCAGACCTATGAGTTTGGTCTGCTTAAACTGTAATTTGTACAACCCACTTTGGGAAGAATGGTATGTCTTCCTGGAAAACACTCCATTTCCCTTCCCTTCTCAAAGGCACACTGGTGAGGAGATGACTAAATGCTGCCACAGGAGGGAGAAAAACAAACAGGAAAGAATTAAAAGGGCCTCGGATAGGGCTGGAAAGCAAAAGGCATAAATTATTCATCTCTTCCCCTCCCTGAACCCTCTCGCAGCCAGCACATGCACACCACCTCCCTTCTGGACAAGCCTTTGGCATGAGCGGCGGATCGCACTAATGCTCCATCCCATTCCGCAGCGGAGCAGCGCTTGGCAGGAGGAGACAGGAGACTCCCTCAGGAGAACTTTGTGAGAACAGAGCTGCACGGCTGAGCTAGGTAGTGGAGGGGAAGGAGGGAATTGGAGGGGGGAGAAGCATCCTGATTATGTGGGGAGCAGTGTTTGAAGTGGCTTCTCAGAGCAGAAAGCACGTCTGGGAGTAGAAATAATTGTTTAAAAATGTATATGCTCCTGGAAAGCTACCTGTGGCGATTTTGTGCAGGAAAGAATGCTGTTCCTATTTGTCCTTTCAAAGAGCAGCTTAACAAAACAGCCAGCCACATGAAAAGGCAAAGAGCAGAACTCTCACATATGTTGCTTGACTCTTTTTTCATTATTATTCTTCAGGCAGGCTCCAATGCAGGCACTTGGAAGCACAGTGGTTAGGTCTGACTCACAGCTGTCCTGCTTAACGTGGTTCTCTGCTAACGTGGTCCCTTTGTGCTTGGTGTTCAAAGCCCTTAGGTTTAGTCTAGACTTGCAAAAGGGTGGTTTTTGTCAAGAGTTACAGCTCACTTGAACTTGTTTAGCTGAACAAATGCCAACACCTGAACAACATCAGGACCACGGTTTAGCAGCTCTGTCTCAGTTCAAGCAGTGGAGCAGAACTAAATTAGGTAACCTGTACTACCTTCAACATTTTCTTAATAGGCTTTAAAAGTCTGATGCAAGTGACAGACTGAAAACCTTCGGGAGTTTCTGAACATAGAGCAGGCTGAGCACTGGCAGGTTCCTTCTGGAAGAACAGGAGAAACAAAGCTTGACCTTAGCAGACCATTCAACCTCAATCTACCCAGCCACCTATCTAGATAGTTAGCTTTAATGTGCAGCATTTGGACATTGCCCTACTGAAAATCCATAGAGGAAGTGATAGCAGTTGTCCAGGTGATTATAAAGTATACTGGTAACAGGGCTGAGACCCACCTGACTTCTGGAGTACTGGCTTACTGGAATTCTGGACTCCTGGGGTCCTGTTCTTCCCATGGCAGGAACAATGCAGTAGGAATAGCCTTTCCTCACTGCTCATTTTCATTTTGAAATCTCCTCTCAGAAATGTACAGAGGAGATAACAAATTCTTCTTATGCCAGGAACTCTCCATTTTGAGCTTTATCTGTTGCTGGCTTTTGGCACCATTAAACTGTTAAGGGTAAATTTAAAAACAATTGAGAAACTGGCTCCCTGGATTGTAGTTTGGGGCTTTCCTGCAGAACAGGAAAGCTTTTGACTCAGAACAGTTCTTTGATTTTTGGTGAAGCTCACAAGCATCTGTTTTCGCATGCAGATATCTAACTCTACCTGGTCATGAATTATTTTTCCTCTGAAGTCCCATCTCTGCATTGCCCAAGTTTTCCAGTAAGACTAAGATGACTTGACTTCTTTAATGTGTGGTTTTACCCTTTTGCTACTTTAGACCTCTCTTTGGCAGTCACATCTACCTACATAGATAAACGCTCTTATTAAAGAGCTTAGTCATGGTCTGAAGCAAGTGCAGCCCACTGTTATCAGTACTTACATGTGTGCTTTGAATTCCACCACAGAAAACTGGGGTGTCTGAGAGTTTTTTGCTGAGTGCCTTTTCATTTAGTACAGACCAGAAGACTCTTGTTTTCAGACTGGGGCAATCTCCAGTGTTGATAAAGTTCACAGTATCTGCATAACAGGAGTAGGGATGGAATCCCATCCAACACTCCCTGAATCAGAGCTTCTTTTTTGTTCAGTTTAATACTGTGTTAGGGGTTCTGTTCAACACAATGCAGTGAAGAACACGTAGTCTCAGCTCCAGGCAGCCTGTTGTCTAAACTGGAGTGATTCCAGGGTAGCTCATCATGTACAAATGGAATCAGAGAAATATTTTCTATGGATTAATACGGTTCATTTTGTAAACCCAGACAATTTACATTGATTGTGACTGTTAGAGGAGTAAGGTTTAGGAGACTGTTTTAAGTAGTATGGTAGAGTACTTCCGAAAGGGTTTCCGAAAGGCAGAGAATAATTAACACAACATGGAAAACAGCTTGAGGAGAAAGCAATGAGCAAGGAGCCTTTAGCATCCTGCTGAAAATCTTGAAACTGGTGTTAGGTAGCAAATGGATTCTCAAAAGGAGACACTTTCAACCTAGTTGAAAAGCTGTAGAAAAAGAGAGGGAGCAAGGATTTAACACAGAGGTCAAGCATAAGATACGGGAGAGTCACAAGGTCTGGGAAGAATGTTGGGTGAAGTGGAAAGAGATTAAAAAAGTATTTATTTTGTATTCTACTGGGTTCTGGGAGTGAGCATATCACTGTGTGTGATGGTGTGCATGCATGTGACAAGGAATTTGGGTTTGCCTCAGGAAAGATTAAAAAGCTATCATCTAGGGTCAGACTACAGGAAGACAAAACAAGCTACAGCAGAAATCCAGCAGGAAAATAACATGGCTCTGAGGCAGGGCCACCACTGCTTTCATCTGTCCCCAGATTGTACTATATAGATTTGTAAAAGCTTCAGCTTCTCTACCTTCCTGACTGGGATGTGTGAGCTAAAGGAACACCATCTGGACAGGTCAGTTCAGCAGGAGTGCTGGTTTACAGAAACTGGAACAAATGTTGGAATTACAGTCCTGCTTTTTTTCCAAGGGAAGGAAGGGAATGGAAATGGAAAAATGTCAGTGAAAAAAACCCATATAGGGCACAAACTTCAGAGCCGAGGAAGTCTGTAATGGAGAGTGCAGTTGAGACAGCTGTGCTGAGGCTTACCTAACCTAGGGCTGGCCATGCAGCTTCCATGAGGTCATTACATTAGTTTGTTGCTCCAGTCCTTGCTCCTGACACCTATTAAATCTACAGTGTTTGAGTTTGGAGTTGTCAAGGTAGCACTGCATCGGACACTCAGAGAATCCATGTGGAATTCTGGGAACAAGACAGACCCTGCACAGAAGCTCTTTGCTCTTTTCTTGGTTGTCTTTTCAGGATATTTTCTTCTGTGCATATTCTGGGATTGGTTTACAGAACTATTTACTATCTGCCCTCTGTCTGTACTGTTTAATACCAGATGAAACTAGGAAAGCTCCTTTCTGGGCTTGGGCCTATCATTTTCCTCTGCAGTCTTGCAGGAAATATCCCTATTAATTTCAAAATAGTAGAGAAAAAATATTTATTTATTTATTTCTACAACAATTATATTATTAAAAGGCCACCCAGAGGATTCATTCATATTCACAACAATCACAAGAACTTGCAAGCATTTAGTGCTTCTCAACCCAAAGGAAACCACAGTTACATGCTCTACATTTGCACTGTAGATAACAGATCTTATACAACATTCTGAATCCCAAGCTACTTGCAAGATAAAGCACTTACTGGACACAGATCCCATCTGCTTTTCTTGCAGCAGGCAATTGTAAGGTCTCCTTAAGGATCCCGGTATCTTCACAACGACAGGTCTAACACTGTCCTGTCTACTTATGTTCCCAAATGATATAATGAGTCAAGAGTCAGTGATGCAACCATCCTTCCAAGTGAATCCAAAATGGCTGTTAAAGGCACATTTAGGATTTTTATTTTGATTGTCCTAGGTAAAGTTTTCCCAGGGGGATCCTCTGAATACCTCCCTACCCATCACTCAGCTTCTCCATGTCTCTCATATCTAGTGCTTAGGAGAACAGCTACATGTTCCCTTCTGTTCCTTTCCATAAACCTAAACTAAATGTAGAGCGCATATCCCATACAGCCCTTCATCTACCACCAAGCTTAAAGTCCTGGCATCTGCTTCCAGTGGCACATCTGGATAATGCAACCTGGTACTTTAGGTGGCTGGAGAAGTAGAGATGCAGTCTTGCATACGCATTCTTCTCGACAAAGGTCAATTACAACAAGCGACTCTTTTAGTGTAATAAAAACTGACTGGCAATTAAGACTAAGACTGACTAACAAGTTGCTCCTCACTTCCACCAGGAAACTTGAAGTGCAGGACAGAATCCAGGGAAGATTTTCTGGAAAATGGAGAGAGATCCAGTAAAGACTCTACGCCTGGGCAAGTCAATAAACTGTCACAGTTGCCCAGGAGGACTTGGCTTGGCTTAGATAAACTTACAAAAGGCCCTGAAAAAACAGAACTTTTTTAAATGGCAGAGATTAATTTTCTGACTTCAAAGCAGTATTAATGCAGAGCTTGGCTAAGGTTTCCTGTGCAAGCAGTTTCCCCCCGAGCAATGATTTCAGAATCCGCCTTGTTTCAAGGCTGGCATTTGCTGCAGCTGCAGACCTAGAGTATTTTTGATCCCCTCTGAGTGCTGGAACACTATCCAACAATTAAACCGCAACCCAAAAACAATCAAACATCTGTTTGGAGGCAGGCTGCTCAGTGACTGACATCCTCCTGCCAGCATAAACACTGGAGCTGCTGAGTGATTCCTGTCTTTTGTGTGTGTGTGTGTGTGTGTGTGTGTGTGTGTGTGTGTGTATGTGCTGCTTGTGGGAGTTTTGTTCCATATTTTTTGTATATGCAAATATGCTGAAGAGCATTTTTATTGCAATGTATGAATGTGCCCTACAGTTTATTTGTGGAAGTCTTTTTGTTGACATGAACTCACATGTTTGAGTGTTTGAGCTTGGTTATTCACGTGCTGGAGGTCACTCTGCAGAAAGAAGGTGAGAATGTGGACTGTGCACCTGGATTCAGGTATGTGCTCATGCAGAGCAGTGTGTGTTGGTGTATGTTCATTTGCAGATATGGACTTGGCTTTATTTGGGCAAAATTAGCATTATGGCTGCGTGTAGTTTTATGTAGAGACAAGTATTTTGAAGTGTGTGCATGTGTGTGTAGATGTAGAACTGTTTCTCTTAAAGGGCTTGTGCTTTTTGATCGACACCTATTCTACCTATTCAGATAGGATGGGCTTCGAGCAATCTCACCTAGAGAAAAGTGTCCTGTGCATGGGAGGGGAGTGGAACTAGATGATCTCTAAGGTCCCTTCCAACCCAAACCATTCCATGATTCTATGATACATCTGATCTTCAAGTTCTGCCATTGAACTAAGCAGCTACTTAGGCCACAGGAGTTGACGTCCTTCATTGTTGGCCCAGGAAAAGAGATAACAGACTGCTAGAAGCAGTTCAGAATTGGGTTCGAAAGAAGAGCCAGGTCTGACCTTGATGTCATCTCAGTCTAAACCCCCTGATGTCAAGACCTCTCTTGGGATGACAGTAGGGAATCTGAGGATGATTTGACTCAAGGGCTTCGGGAACATGGACAGGCCAATGAATATTGATGTTAGGTCTGCCTTCCTAGAGGTTCAATTACCCTCCCTCCTAAAAGCACTTACAGACTCCATGCAGATATCTGCTTTTGTCCTGGTTTATTTATAGACTTCCAACAACCAGGGGCTGTTGATGGCCAGGGTAAAGTAGCATGCAAAAGGCATTCATTCCCAGCAGGAACTCCCTCCCGGCAAGACTAAGACCAGCTTTCAGAAAATGCCATTGTTCCCTCTCCCAGCCAAATAACAGCTTGTGCTGCTCCTGCCAGTTCCGCTGAACGCCGTGTCTGTCTAGAGACAGCTGCTTGCTGTCTGCAGTGTCTTTATGTACCTGGCCATACATGAGTCAGTGAAGCCTCTTGCTTGAACACATCAGTATCACAACTGACAGAACCTAGGCCACCCACTGGATGCATTTCTGGAACATTCCTGTCTAGGAGAGAGCAGCTGGAGCCTTTTGCTTTAGCCCAATTCTTAAATATCCCATTGCTGAAGTATATGAACACGCCATTACAGGAAAGAAAGATCGGGTGAGCCCACTGCTCTGTAATGGGCAGTGCAATCTTCACCTGTATTTTCCACCACAAGACCCCTCAGTAGGGTATAACACAATGATCATGACAAAAGGCCCTTTGTCAACATTAGCAGCTGCTCAACTTCTAACTCTTGGTTTCGCACAAACTCCAACTCCAGACAAATGAGAAGTGCAACTTAAGGAAGCCCTCAGCTGTCTCCTACTTTGGTCACTTCCAAAACAGACGTGAAATAAATTCTGGTCTCTTTTCTGTCCCTGTGTCTGGATTTTGATTGTGAGACCTTTCAACTTTGGACTGTTCCCTTACAATTTATTCCTTGTTGCTGCAGGAGTTTTGAGCGACATCTGAAGCTTTTTTGCTTTGTGAATTAACATATTTAGCCTTCTACTAGTTAGTCCAAACCTCAGAAAGCCCCGAACTTTAACTGCAGGCTCACTATTCAACCAACCAATAAATAATACGAGAGACGCGAAAACAAACTGTAAGATTCAAACTTACTAAGTCTGTAACACCTTAAAAAAAAAGGAGTGGTTTTGCTCATTGAATAACAGGAAAAATTCAGGAGCAAGGGAATGAAACAAAGGAATATAAAATCTCAGTATGACTACTGCGAATAACGCATTTGAGACTAGTAGAATAGTTTCCCATTGGAAAGGACAAAGCAGCAGGCACTTGAACAACTATGGACAAAATAATAAATGCTAGAAACTGTATAGCTGTGTGCAGAAGTTACTTCCATAAAACCAGGCTGAAGATGCCAAGTGTGGCTCCTGGAGTCAAGAAAAACAAGCAGAAGTTACATGTGCCCTTTGCCTATCAAAGCTGATGTGTGCATTCATTCTCACACACTGTTTGTGTTAGCCTGTCCATGTTATATAAAATTTCTCTTTTTAGTCAATAACCTGAATCAAAAATCTGACATATTCCTTCTGGGAATAACTTGTATAAAAGTGGACTATCTCTTTGGGAAAATGGGGGTTATTCAGATCTGGAAAGGTATTTGCCATGCAAAGTCTCATTTAGGCTGACAACAGCAGCTTCCCATCCTCTGTCCTGGGGGGAAAGGGGGTGTCAAATCCTCACATCTGCCATCCCAGTGCACAGCTGTGAGTTGCTGGGGAGAACCTCCCCTGCTCGCCCAGCTGCCCCTCCATTCACTGTCACTCAGCAAGTAAGTATTTCACAGTCCTTACTGGAAACAATAGGACCTTTCAGAATGAAATCAGATCTTGACTGGGATAGGAAGGCAGCTGTGAGACACATGAAAGCTTCTGCTTGCTGTCTCTTCCTTGTCTCACAAGGTTCAGATTCAAAGACTCGAAGTGAAAAACCTACTGCCAGCCCCTTCAGAAAAGTCAGTGTTGCAAGGGAGATTCTGCACGTTGGGTACCCAACGTACAGACTCTGTACAGCTGCAGAAAGCTGTACAGACACAAACAGCTCACTGCAATTTAGATGCATGCAGCAGAGGATGAGTACATGTGGAAATAGAATATAAAAAGAAAATACAGGCCAAGAAATAGCACTGAATTTCATGTGGGTTTTTTGATTCCGAAAGAAGATCCCATGATTTATTAACTTGACATTTCTCCCATTACTGATATTTAGTTCCTCTGGGGCAGAAGGCAGAAGCTTTTAACAGCACTCAGCTATACTATATGCTAGTATGCCCCAAACTCCCCAAGACTTTTTGGGGCACTGACTACTTGATAACCTTGGAGAGAAGAGTTTCACCGTTATCAGTAATATCTGCAGTTTCCCTTGAAGGTTCTTTTCTCATCAACGAACTGATGAGGTCCGACACGATTTTAACCTTCTAATTATTCTAATTTCAGGACATCAGTGCTGCTGATTAGGAAATACACTGCTCCCAAAACAGCCCCCTGGAGCTGGGTGTACAAGCACAGCGTGGAGAAGGCAGGGAAATGAACCCACATGGAACACTCTGGTAGCGTGGTTCCATGTATTCCACTACCCAAACTCACTTATTTACAAGCACAGGGTGTTTACACTTCACTGCAGGCTCTAGCCTAAATTATTCTGAGAAAAGCAAGCGCAGGGGAAGAGCTGCTGGTCAATAAAAAGGCCACTTCTCTTTTATTTCAAGAGAATTTACAGACTGCTCCTCAGAATGGCACTAAAACAACATGTACACTGTTTTCTCAGGGATTGGCCAGCCTAGGATCTCTTTTTCTCTTTCAAATACACCGAGTCGTTTCCAAGCTCAGGGACAGCTCCGTGCTCATAAAGCAGCACATAACACATGCTCCACTAGCCTATAGACCAGACATGTGTCACCCTCCCCTGCTGCCAGTCCTTCGCCTCATCCTTACCCTTGCAGTCCCCCTCACTATTGTCTTTCTCTCCCCTTTCCTGCTTACATGCTGTCTGCAGTGTGCTGCTCCTCCGGTCACCTGCTCCACCAGCTAACCCCATACCCTTTGTCCGTTCGGAATATTATCCATTGCTATCAAAGCTTATCCACTATGACACTACCAATCCTGAACTCACATTTTCATGTTATCTTTCTGTCTTATATCACAGCAATTCCCAGCACCACCACTCACTCTGAAGTGCTTCTGTTCCCCCCCCAGCTTCCTCTATTGCCCAGTCTGGACTCAACTAAGAGTTAAGTGCCTGCTCTGAGTAGTTAGCTATATGACAAATAATGCACATTGCACGTTCCTTTGTCTTCTCTCTCTTTCATTTCTCAATGTCATATTTCAGTTTTGGATTGCTCTTCTGTTTTGAACGGATTCCTATTTTCTACTCATGAATAAAAAATAAAGCATCTTGTTTGTGTAAATGCTCCCCGCTCCAGTACTGCATGCATCTGTAGCCACCTTACTGTTGCTTTGCTGACAGGGGTAAGATTTTGCTGCTGCTGCTGCAGGTAGGAGTTCTTTAATTCCCGGGTGAGGATTTAGGTTTTCAGCTCTGAAGCTCAAGAGCTCAATCCCATTTCTGACCTAAGGGAGGAGCTGTTACACAGGATCCCATCCGTGAGCTCTAGCATCGCCTTCCCATCATCATGTATTTGAATTGTTACCCATACATCATAATTCCCCATAGCAGAGAACTCAGAGTTCCTCATGCAATAGAAATAAATGTCCACTTCTTAAACATTTGTTTGAATTGGGTAGGAAAAATGTACTAGAGTGAAATATGTATTATCCGTGTACTCACTGCTGAGGGTTTCAGACTGCCAAAAACACATAATCAAAAAGGATTCCTGTTTCCAAATGACACCGATCATTTCTCCCTCAAAGGCTATTGTATGTGGCACTGTGGGAGTTCTGAGAAGTGAAAATACATTTATTTAATAAGAAAAAAATAGTGTTGTCAGAGTATTATTTGATTGTGTCTATTTCGAGAAAAAAAGGCTGAATCAATACCACACATACTTGTTGCTTTAAAGCGGAGAATTTCACTGTGGCAAAACCAATGATAAGACTCATTTATTCATCTCCTGAAGTCATCCAGGCTATTGTCACTAAATGCAGATTTGTCATCATGACTGGCACGGTGAGTGTTGGGGTGGGATTTGGGCAGAAGGGTATTACCAAGAGGTGAAACCAGAAAGACCTAAACATTTATGAGGGAATTGCAATGAAGGGGCAGAAGGCAGATGTGAAATTCTTTCAACCCTGTATAACAGAAACACAACTTTTCTGAGAACATAGTTTTAGACCATTTTCTTACAGCAAAACTTGGTTTAGAAGCCTTAGGAAAACAAAACCAGCCTCAGAATAACTTTGCAATTCTTTTTTAGCCTAATTATCAGAGAGCAGTTGGCCTTCCCATGACCCCAGCACCCTTTGGGCTGGATCACTGTGCTCAACAAGACACTGCTCAGGTTTAACACACCAGCTTATGAGTTTTTTATTTTGCTTTCAGCTTTCTGAAAGGTTTCCAAAAGTACCAGGCAAGGAAATGAAATCTTCATCTCAAGGAAAAGATCCCTTTCCAAAACTGTTAATCTTTCCTTATGACATGCTTTGGAATACAGACGTATCCAGAGGGGGTTTATTCAGCAATATGCTGCTCTTGTAAGTGATCAAACTGGGGTTTATTACAGTGGTACATATGTTAACAATAATTCAAGCTTTTATTGACCCTGTTTCACCACCACAGCTGCTCTTGGTTTTCCTCATGGCCCCACCCAGTGCCACTTGGAACACCAGCAGACACATGTACATATTGCAGGGAGTGATGCTTTGTGCTGTTATTGAAGAACCAGGCTTCCTCTAGCATGCAACAATCGTAAACTCATGACTACACATTTCCTAGCTGTCACTGCATTACATCCATATATGCTGGAATCAGCAGAATCAGAAAACAGATTGGGTTTCTGTGTATCACTTCTAATTAATTTTTGCATTACAGAGCCTCTAGATGATCCAGCCACATGTAGGTCAGTATGTCTTAACTTGAATTGAAATATCTATGAATTAGATCTCTGAATTATTATAACAATATGGGCCTTAGCAGCATGAACAAAATACTCTACTCACTGTTAGGCCAACATTGGTACTAACTGAAAATACAGAACATGTTACAAGTCCAGAGGAGGAGAAGCTCCCACAGCTTTCACAGCTCTCTTGCTGGATGAAGCAGACCCGAAGAGGGAGTCACTATGAGCTATAAAATCTGTGACTCTGCATCAGCAACTTGATGGACATGGTGGCTGCGTGCTGTGTGTAGCTGGGTTTGTTGGAACATGAATCTGGCTATGGGTATCAATGTGTCAAGCCTCTCTGGGTCTTCCCATCTTTGACACATATGATATTATATTTATATATATATACACATATATATATAAATAACAGAATAAGATGATGGCACCCCATAAAGAGAGGGGAGTGTCCAATAGTTTGCATCCCAGACTGTGGTTCCAAAACCATGTTTCTGCCACAGAGATCCCAAGTGACTTTGTGGAAAGTGCTCAGTGAGTTCTGACAGGGACATGACAAAGAAAAAGCCATCTCAGACCTAACTGTTCTGACAGAGTGGCAGTTAGACTGTACATACAGAGACCTGTGGCACGGAGCAGTAAGTTGGAGAAACAGCCAAACAAGCTTGGAAGTTCTTCCACAAATATTAGGTATTAACAATAAAGGAAAACAGAAAGGTTTTCAGGGGAAGAAAGTAATTTTTTTGCTTAAGCACTCTCGTTTGTCATCCCATCAGTGCTCCCCACCAAAATCAATTTAAACAGCTCAGGCTTGCTGGATTATGGCAAGATGAATTAAAAGCAAAAACGTTAATTCAGATCAATATCTCCTGTTGTAGTCCACTGTTAGTTAGACTTTAATCTTGATTTCACTTGTGGTGAAACCTCCTCTGGTCTGACATTGAAATTAAAGAAAAAACCCACCCCAAAACAGGGGCTGTGTGCATTAAATATAAAGATTAATCTAGCCTGAGGTCTGTATAACTCTGAGCAGCTCCCCTCTCTGTCACTTGGCCTGCCTTGTAACTGAGATGCTGTTTGACCTTGGTGTAATTGCTGCTGTCTGATGACAGGGCACTTCTGCCAACCAGATGGTCTGTATTGTGAGGCATGGCTATTTGATGAAGCTGTTCTTAAGTCATAAATAAAGGAGGAAACTGCTGCATGGGATCTATTCTTCCCATCAGCAGTTTAGCTTAGTGGTGATAAAAACGGGCATGGATTGAATTTGACATTTACATAAAAGAATCAACACAACAACCTATGCATCAGTTCAAACTTTTCTGTACCTTGGGGAGCCTGGAGGTTCTCTTAATAAGCACTTACTCCTTGTTAGATGGCGCAATGGACATGTCTCATTGATCTGGCACTTGGTGAAAAAATCCTGGTTAGTGTTTGTAAGTATCCAGAATAACCGCACCATATGAACTTTAAAGGCCTTACAGGTTTAAACAGCAAGGAAAATCCTGAGCAATTTTTCTTCTGCCTACACACAACTTTCTTTTTGCTCTGAGCCTCTCCAAAATGCTCCTTGACAAACTAATGGGTAAAAAGAATCTTAGACATTGGATGACAACATTTGAGAACCAAATTGCTGATGATCAGGTCTCAGGCAGTTCAAAAAGGCACTTTAAATGCTTGAACTTTCCAATAGAGCTATAAGGAAAGGTGCCAGAAAAGACAAAAAAACTTCTTCAAATGCAAAGCTGAAAACCCAGACTTCTGAATGTGCATGAAAACTGAACTCCCAAATGAAACTGCTTGCTTCTCTTAAGTGATAAAGAATAGCACTGAGCAGAAAAATATTTGCAGGCCTCAATAACAGACATCAATGTAGCCCATTTTAAACCATTAGAAACAATAGTTAAGTGAGTATGTTGCTAATGAAAACCAGAGGATGCATCATCATAGGTACATACAAGGATAACGTGGGGGTATTTTAAAGATGATAGAGAGTGTGGGTCTTCCTGAGAAAGAAAGGTTACAGATATCAGAGGCATTGAGCAAGAAAGCTCTCCACTTTCTCCATATCTGAACAGCACAAGGACAATGCCGAGGTCAGAGCACATACTTCTTCAGTTTTTCTAAATGCTTACAAAATACTTAGCAAAGTTGGGATTGTGGTGTGTGTAAAAAATGATGCCAGGAATCAGACATGCTGAGCATGGTTTATACATCCACAGCCTGAGTCTGAGGAGGGTAATGGCCTTCATTTTAAAGGAGCAAGAAATAGTCTTCCCATACATCCTGAAGGAGCCAGGATACCTAGAAAGATGCATTACTCTTATATTTCCTGCAAATATTTACTTGTTATTCCAAGAGAATACTACTTCACTGACACCTTGGTTCATGGTGCTCAGTATCTAGTTTGTTCTTTGTATTACACTCATGAAGAAATGCAAGAAAACTGTTTCTTATAATGCAATTTTCTAGTGCTTAAAAGAATGGGCCCAGACCTCATTCTGGGTCCAAGGCTGAAATAAAACCAGTTAGACCATTATGAAAAAGGTGTTTTGCAAGTATGACTGTAATTTCATGATGCCTGTAACTTCATGATGCCAGCAATACAAGATCTTGTAGGCACACAGGAGGACTCTAGTGTTGCATTGCCAAGTTGCTGCCCAGGCAAATTACACACACTTGTGTGATGTTGGTGCTAGAGATGGCCAGCACCACAGGAGGTGGGATACATTGGCAGACTTGAAGGCTGAGCAAAATCCCATTTGCACAAACTCATATATGATGGAAGAAAAATTAACCACCACCACCAACAGTAGCTTTTCCCATGCATCTGACCAGAGTAAGAATGCTTTTCACAGAGAACTGTGAAACGAAATGGGATGATCACGGGAAATATTCAGGTATAGTATGAGAATGACCAGCTCCTGACGTGGAAGTCAAATCTTCTAGCCTATGTAAGAAACATGCAGG